AAACACTGATGCAATTCTGGAAGGATTACAACATCTATCACTACATCAAGAACTTTGCTTGGGCATGGGGTGATGTTACCAAGAAGCGTATGAATGGCATGTGGAAGGAGACACTCAAGAGTTCTTTCCATGACTTCAAAGTATTTGCCAAGGATACGGAGGTTGCAAAAACCAGCAAGACTGTGGTTGAGATGGCAAACAACCTTAACCTGGGCGTGGGTGAGGATGGCACTGAGGAGCTTGCAGAGGCAGTTCCTGAGGAACTGACTAATGAGGAACTGTTGGAACTGGGACAGGAACACATAGCTGAACAATGGGCAAGAGAAAAGGAAACTGCAGGGGAAAACAAGAAGGACCCCCAACAAAATTAACAGTAAAAAGCTTAACAGAAGCTCTTGCAGACCTCAACAAGCTCTTTTAAAAATTTGAAAACCTAGCCCTAGCCAGTTTTCTTAGTGGTTAGAGCATCGGCCTGCGGACTGAATGGTCCCATGTTCGATTCCAGCCAAGGGCACACACATACCTCGATTGGAGGCGTGTGGAAAGCAGCCAATTGATGTATCTCTCTCACATCGATGTTTCTCTCTCTCTCTCTCCCTTCCACTCAGTCTGAAAAAGCAATGGAAAAAATACCCTCAGGTGAGGATAAAAAAAAAAATTTGAAAACTTAGACCCAACACCAAAAATTTTCATTGACAGAGAGAAATATTCACGGTGTGTTATCTGCTTACAGTCAAACTATGATGGGGGAAAAAAGAAGCAAACCACCACAGACATATTTCTGAAAAGAGTGACACCTCCTCAAGAAGAGCCTTCAGGTTCTTCAGGAAGTATCCCAGGAGAAGGCATTATCATCGTAAGAAAGGGTAGCTACATGCTTGTTATTGTCCCTGAAGACCGTCCAGTGGGACAAGATGTAGAGGTGGAAAACAGTGATACTGATGATCCTTACCCTGTGTAGGCCCAGGCTAATGTGGGTTTGTGTCTTAGTTTTTAACCAAAAAGTTTAAAAAGAAAAAAATTAAAAATGTAAAAAATAAAAATGTTATTGCCCTGGCTGGGTGACTCGGTTGGAGCGTAGTCCCATACATCAAAAGGTTTCCAGTTTGACTCTGGTCAGGGTACATACCTGGTTGCAGGTTTGATCCCTGGTTGCAGTGCTTGTGAGAGGCAATCTATAGATGTCTCTCTCACATTAATGTTTCTCTCTCTCTCCCTTCCTCTCTCTCTCTAAAATCAATAAAAACATATCCTTGGGTGACTATTAACAACAAAAAAAGAAATGTTATAGAATAAGGATATAAAGAAAGAAAATATTTTTGTATAGCTGTACAATGTGTTTGTATTTTAAGGTAAGTGTCATTACAAAAGAGTCAGAAAGTTTAAAAAAATAACTGTAAAAAAGTTAGAGTAAGCTAAGATTAATTTATTATTGAAGAAAGAAAATTATTTTTTATAAATTTAATGTAACCTAAGTGTACAGGGTTTATAAAGTATACAGTGGTGTGCAGTAATATCCTAGGCCTTCATATTTACTTACCACTCACTCGCTGACCCACCCAGAGCAACTTCCAGTCCTGCAAGCTCAATTCATGGTGAGTGCCCTATACAGGTGCACCATATTTTATCTTTTATATCATATTCGTACCGTATCTTTTCTGTGTTTAGATATACTTAGATACACAAATAGTTACCATTGTGTTACAATTGCCTACAGCAGTCAGTACAGTAAAATGCTGTACAGGTTTGTAGTCTAGGAGCAATAGGCTAGACCATATAGCCTAGGTGTGTGACATCTAGGTTTGAGTAAGTGCACTCTGTGACATTTGCACAATGATGAAATCACCTAATCACATATTTCTCTGAATGTATCCCCATTGTTAAGCAACACATGGCTGTAGAGGTATCCACAGTCAAAAGAATCAGTGAACTAAAAGATAGGACAATAGAAATTATCAAGTCTGAAGAACAGGGGGGAAAAAAGATTGGAGAAAAGTGAACAGAGTCTAAGGGTCCTCTGGGACACCATCAAGAAGACCAGCATACACATTGTGGTCTCAAAAGCAAAAGAGAAAGAGAAAGGGATGGAGAAAATATTTGAAGAAATAATGGCTGAAATCATCCCAAATTTGATGAAATACATGAATATAAACATCTAGGAAGCTCAACAAATTCCTAGTAAGATGAACTAAAAATGACCCACACCTAGACACATTATAATCAGACTTTCAAAAGACAAAGAAAGAACCTTGAAAGCATCAGGAGAGAAATGACTCATCACACACAAGGGCTCCTCAATAAAATAATGAGCAGATTTCTTGTCAGAAACTTTAGAGGCCAGAATACAATGGATCAACATGTTCAAGGTGCTAAAAGAAAAAAACTATCAACCAAGAATTCTATATCCAGCAAAACTGTCCTCCAAAAGTGAAGGAGAAATTAAGACATTCCCAGATAAATAAAAACTGAGGGAGTTTACTGCCATTAGACCTGCCCAGCAACAAATGCTCAAGGAAGTCCTGCAAGGTGAAAGAAAAGGACACTAGACAGTAACATGAAGCTGTATGAGAAATAAATAGCTCAATAAAAGCAAATATTGGGCAATTATAAAAGTTACTATTATTGTTACAATGGTTTGTAACTCCACATTTTTATTTCTGCATAATTCAGGAGACTAATGCATTTAAAAGAATTATTTATGTTTTGGAGTACACAATGTATGAAATGTAATTTTGTGTCATTGATAACCAAAAGGGGCAGGGATAAAGCTGTAAGGAAACATAATTCTTGCATGTTATTGAAGGTAAGCTGGGATAAATTCAAATTAGAGTGTTATAACTTTAGGATATTAAATGTAACCCCCATGGTAACCACAAAGGAAATAGCTATAGAATATACACAAAAGGAAATTAGAAAGGAATTTAATCACTTCATTACAAAAAAATCAACTAAATATCAAATTACCACATTGTACACTTTAAAGATCTTAGAGTTTTATGTTAATTGTACCTCAATAAAGAGAACAAAAAGAACAAACACATTTTAAGAAACAACAAAAAATCAACTAAACACAAAAGAAGACAGTAATACAGGAAATACAGGACAATAAAGCTCTAAGGCATGTAGAAAAAAATGGCAAAATTACAGAAGTAAGTTTCCTCCTTATCAGTAATTACTCTAAATGTAAATGGATTAAACTCTACAGCCAAAAGACTGAGATTGGCAGAATCGCTAAAAACATGATCCCACTATATGCTGTCTGCGAAAGACACAGTTTAGATCCAAAGACACAAACAGTTTGAAAGTGAGTGGATGGGAAAATACATTCCATGTAAATAGTAACCTACAGAGAGCAGGAGTGGGTATGCTAATATCTGAACAAAATAGACTTCAAATTTAAAAGGCCATATGTGGGAAATCTACAGCAAACATCACACTCAATGTTGAAATACTGAAAACTTTTCCTCTAAGATCAAGAACAAGGCAAGGATGCCCCCTTTCATCACTTCTATTGAAATAGCACGGGGAATTCTAGCTGGAGCAATTGGGCATTAAATAAATAAATAAATAAATAAATAAATAAATGGCATCCAAATTGGAAAGGAAGCAGTAAAATTATTTCTGTTTGTAGATGATAGGAGTGTATTTATAGAAAACCCGAAAGATTTCACACACAACAAACTGTTAGAACCAATAAACAAATTCAGCAAAGTAGCAGATTACAAAGCCAACACAAAAAAGAGAGCTTTTCTATACATTAACTGAACAATCTGAAAAGGAAATTATGGAAACAATTCCATTTGCAGTAGCATCAAAAAGAATAAAATACTTAGGAATTAACCAAGGAGGTAAAAGTCTTACACAATGAAAGCTATAAAACATTGATGAAGAAAATTAAAGAAGACATAAATAGATGGAAATACATCCCATGTTCACAGATTGGATGTTGTTAAGATGTCAATACTACCCAAAACAATCAGCAGATTCAATTCAATCCTTATTAAAATCTCCATGAGGTTTTTATTGCAGGAAAAAAAAAAAAATCCTAAAATTCAAATAGAATCTCAAGGAGCCCCAAATAGGCAAAGCAATCCTGAAAAAGATGAACAAAGTTGGAGAACTCACACTTCCTAATTTCAAAACTTACTATAAAGCTACAGTAATCAGAAACAATGTAATGCCAGCATAAAGACAGACATACAGACCAATGGAATGGAATGGAATGCAGAGCTCAGAAATAAACCCTCGCCTACATGGTCAAATGACAAGGGTGCCAAGACCATTCAATGGGGGAGAGGACAATCTTTTCAACAAATGGTACTAGGGAAACTGGGTATCCATATGCAAAAGGATGAAATCGGACTCTTACCTAATGCCGTGTACAAAAATTATCTCGAAACTGATCAAAGACCAGAATGTAAGACCTACAACTATAAAACTGTTAGAAGAAAACATAGGGCAAAAGCTTCATGACATTGGGTTTGGCAATGATTTCTTGGATATGACACCGAAGGCGTAGGCAACAAGGGAAAATAGACAAATTACACTTTATGAAAACTAAAAACTTTCATGCATCAAAAGCCACTATAAAGAGTAAAAAGGTAACCCACAAAATAGGAGAAAACATTTGCAAATCTGAAAGATTTGATTGTGAATAGAAGGGAATTCACCGAACTTTTTAGCTCTAAACCATCTTAGATGTGACATCTGCCTCCTGTTCACCAGCTGGTCTCAGATAACCATTTCTTGTCAATCTTTGTGGTTTTCCTGTTCTGTTTGTTCCCACTGCTACACGGCACAAACCTTGAACTAGGAGATAACAGAGCATGCTCTCCTAATGGCTTTCGTAATTTGGCTTAGTTTGCTGGCAGTTTTGGCAGGCTGCTGCCTCAGTTACTCTTATCTCTTACCGTCTGTTTGTTTCTTAAGCGTCAGGCCTGCCCCGTATAATATAGACCAAGTGGGGGAGGTGCCACTAAATGATTCCCGTTTTATTCCAGATTCCTGCTTCCTGTAACGCCAGACTTCAGAGATCTGCGGGAAATTATTTTGGATGCCTTCTCCTTATCGTTAGTGAGCTCCTCACTGCTCATATTTCTGGGCAAGAAGATTGCCAATTTCCATAACTATAGAGTCAATTCCAACCAGGTGAGAGGACAGGCCTTTCTTTTACTTCTTCTGACCCTTCAGTCTCCGTTCTCTAATCTGAGCCTCCCGCTAACATGAAGACTGGGTTCTTCTGTAACCAGAGAATCACTTGGACCATAACTGGAACTGTAATTGCCGAAGGATCTTTGGGAAGCGTGGCACACTTAGGTCTGAGCCCGCCTGAATCAGTGTGTTACTCGCCCTGTCCACACCCGGGGCAGGGCTGCAGGAAGATGGCACAGGCCTCGTGTGCTGAGCTAGTGGAGCCCCTCTCCTCCTAACTTTGCTTCCTTTCCACCGAGTCCTTAGACATCAACCGCATCCTCAGGTGCAGTAAGAAATGATACGGACTAGCAGAGCCAGGCTACTAATATAATGAAGTCAGTCTCCCAGAAATCATTTCTTTTTGGTTTGTTTGTTTTTGGAAAATCACCAACTATTCCGAGTTCAGTCCTTTCCCTAGGACTCGAAAAGGAAATGTGGGAGCATGAGGTGTCCCACTTTGACTTTTAGGGTAGTTTGGAAGGAAGAGAGAGAAATGGTACTCTGTTGTTTCTGTCATTCTAAGTCCTGGTAATCATGAGACAGAGAGTACTAAGGCAAAAGCCTCACTGCCTCACTTTGAAAAAGTGCTCTCCTGTGAACACGAGCTAAAATGAAGTTTCAACCTAATCTAGAAATCAGATTTGCTGTCCTTTTGTTCTTCTAAGAAGAGTCAGTGTTATTTGAAGTGATATAAGCAACCTATCCTCATGCACAAGAAATAGACAGTGTACCTTCAGTTCAAACTTAAATCAACATTCTTCAAGAAATAGTGGGCCTAACTTGTTTGCCATTCCTTTATAGGATTTAATAGCCATTGGCCTTTGCAATGTCATCAGCTCATTTTTCAGATCTTGCGTGTTTACCGGTGCTATTGTCAGGACTGTTATCCAGGATAAATCTGGAGGAAGACAGCAGGTATGACCCCCAGCATATAAAAATGTTTACATCTGTGCATATGTGTTCCTAGAAAGGGGCTGCGTTAGTTTCATCACGTTGATGTGTTAATGCTATGCTGGTTGGGGAAGGTCTCTTAGAAGAATTTGGATTTCACACTTGCCTTCATTTTTGTTTAGATTTTGTCTTAAAAGCTATTAGTCAATGTGGAACTTGAAAGTCATTTCTATAAAAGTATTATTCTATGTGAACGCACAAAACCATTTTCCATGTAAGATAATATTTCAGATAAACTGACCATCACCCTATTTACATTTTTTTCTACGGGAGACATATTCTCAGCCCTAGTCTGGGAAAGCAGTAATTCAACTCTCTCTATCCCAGCAGCCAAACTAGAAACTTTCCCGGCCTCCTCAGAGGGCATGGCAGGGAGCTTTCACCTTAGAGAGCAAGGTCTTTGTCTAGATGAGCCGCGGGGATTTATGACCATTCTACCTCTGCATACGAGGAAATTATCTAGGTCAGACTCTCTTCAGGTCAGAATCTAAAGTGTCAGAAGGATCAACACTGAATTTTACTGGGGGAAGATAAAGCACCACATTCCATGGTTAATTTGGTGAAATATAAAGTGAAAGCTAATAAAGTCAGATTAGGCAAGGGCAAGAGCGTGGGTCTACCCTAGAGCGAGACCGTGTCCTATCAGCCTGTGTGGACTGAGCTTGGTTGTCACAGAGCTGCTGCCAGGTGCTGGCTCTAGGGAGTAGCCCTTTTCCACACTTTGACAGAAAAAAGGAAGTTGGGTTACGTTAAAAAGAAGGATGTTCTATGTAAGGGTGAAAGAACTTTAAAGTCACAATGAGAGGGTTTTATGATAAAAAGAAATGGAAACAGCAATTCCAGACTTTAGTTCCCAGTAACTTTTGACAGCACGCTGTTGATTCAGTATATAAGCTTCAGATAAATTTAGGGAGAAAAGACGCACACGGTTGGAAGACACTAAATCACAGTGCAAGTAAAATGAAGTGCCAAGTAAGTACAATAAATAAAAAGGGCCATAAATATTGCAAGAAGGAGAATGGTGGAGGAAGTGGGACGTGGTGATGACAGCCAGAGGTTAGGTGTGAACAGACAGAGCGGGGAGGGAGGGCCCGGCTCGGCCTGGGCAAGGTGCCCGCCCCAGGCCCCAGTGGCTCTCCTGGGGTCCGTGGCTGCGCTCACTGTTGCATGTGTCACACCCCCCTGCCAGTGAGCCTCTCTGAGGCGCAGTGACCGTGTGGGAGGCATGTCTGTCTCTGCGGATGCGGGCCAGCCCTTCCCTGAGACCCTGCTGTTCCCAGTGCGAGTCACGGGGTCCAGCAGAGCACGCAGCCGGCCGGGCCCCGTGCGCTGGAGCGGCCCAGCCTGCGCTCCGGCTGGGCCAAGGCCCCGAGGCTGGTTCAGCCTGCCCCCTCCCACGGCAGGGGGCTCCCCCCACCCCTCTTCTCTGGGACTGTGGATTCCCTCTGCCTGAGAACACGGCCACTTCTTCAGCGTTCCTCAGGACTACAGAGAAGCTGGGGGCCTGGCTCCGAACCCCTCACACGTGGCCTGCCACCAAGGGCGGCTTGGTTTTGTTGCCTGGCATAAAGACAAGCTGCGTACATGTGTCTGGATTCCTCTTTAATTTTCCCGGGTCTAGAATCCACTTGTGTTCACCTGTTGCAGGAAAACCTATCAGCCCTTCCAGCCATGGCCTGGGGCCAGAGGTGTTGGCAGGCCCGTAGCAGAGGGGAGGCGCAGAGCCCTGGGCTTGTGGCCAGCTGCACTGTCCCCGGGCCATCTTCCTGTCGTTTGGTTCGGACCACCATGCCTCCCTTAGCCTCTGCTTTCCAAGGATGCCTCCCGCCTTGTCCCACGCTCCAAGGGTGAGGGGTGGATGTTTAGCGATATGGGAGGTGGAATGGTTGGGGTTTCGGGGCGGACAATGACGACTCTACCAGGGCTTTTCTAAATTGTTCAAGGAGGGGTTAAAGTGAGGAGGGAGTGCAGGCCGGGCTTAGGAGACTGCAGATTCAGAGCAAAAAGCTAAGGCAACAAAGATTAAAGACCCGGGACAATCTGGAATTTTTCTAAAGCATTCATGCGTTTACACGGCCAGTATGTGTGGAGGCCCTAGCATGCGTTTAGCACTTTGACAAAACCTGACAATGTCAGCTCAGCAAAAAATGCACTTATGCTGGATGGTTACTCTAAACTCCTTTTAAGAAAAACTGCCGTGCTTCACCGAGCAGAAGGCCTCAGTTGCAGGCAGGGACCAGCGTGCTCCTGACGGTCTCTCTCCAACCGCTCTGTCTCCTCAGTTTGCATCTCTGGTAGGAGCAGGTGTGATGCTGCTCCTGATGGTGAAGGTGGGAAGCTTTTTCTACGACCTGCCAAATGTAAGTGGAACTGATCAAATAGCCAAGCCCAGAAAGCGGGGTGTCCAGATTGCATCTTGGTGGGTATCCCTGAGCAGAACTGCACTCAGTGTGGCCCCACTGGCTGCCCCAGCCTCTCTCTAGTCCCTTCCCTTTAAAATACTAGCATCTACCTCTCAGGCTTGGGAGTTAAATAAGATAGTGTATATAATATAGAGATAACAGTGTTAAGCTAATCAGGAGCACTCGAGAAACATTAGCTACTGTTGCTGCTGTTCTCGTTAATCTTCTTTTAATTGCTCAAGCTCTAAAGTAAGCTTTAAAAGTAAGGATTTGGTTAAAGGTGACCAAAATAGACATCAGATGCCAGAACGCCCATTACCCACACAGGCTTAGAAACTCGCTGTGCATCCATGCCATCTGGTCCCTAACCCGCTCCCGGAGGCCTTGTTTTGCATTCATGTGAACGCACTCCCTCGCTTGCTTCCACACCGTCTCTGGCCAGTTTACAATACTAAACGGCAGGGTCTGAAAGTTGAGTTATAACTGTTCAGCTAGGATGCTCCTGTACACTCACGTGCCATTTCTCCCCTTTGTGTGAGACTGGCCACCTTGCATTGAGATTCCAGGTGCATTCATTCCTGGCTATAATCAATTTGTTCTATGTTACAGCAGAGATCAATGTTCAGCGACCATATTTCCTTTTACATTTCTTTCATGTTCCTTGTAGCCACCTTTAGATAGTACTAAGGCGGGTGGGAGGGGGTTTCATTCCTGGTGTCGCAGCTTGGTTACACACTGAGGTAGCGGTCCCCGAAGCGGGAGTGGTGTAAATCTCAGCCCCAGCCTTTCGAGCATGGCCATTGCACCGCAGAGCAGGCCGCCTCCCGGCCGTTGCTGCCTCCTGCTCTTGATATTCAGGGACCTTGGGCCCCAGCCCTGGAGTCTAGGCCTGGAGGGTGGGATTAAGCTTCGGTTTATCGCACAAGCTGTCCTCCGATCCCAGCAGAAGGCAGCTCCAGAATTTAGTTAGTATAGCACCTTTGGTGTGACCACTCTTCGAACCTATTCTAGCAAAGCCACTCACTAATTTACTTTGAACGGTGACATTTTTTTTCTTTATAGCTAGAAGAATAAGAATTTTTTAAAATTCCAAACACATAAAAATCTGTCAGAATTCACTGAAGGCTAGTGATAAAAGTAGGTAGCACTCTTTTATTGTAAATATATTAGACAGAACAATTCCTACTTTGGCTCCCCATGTTATGTCACATTATTTTTACAGCGTCTCGTTAGGATGTTTCTGGGTGAGAAAACGGGAACACAACCTGATCAGTGGACTATCTGAATACTATCCCAATGAGCTCTGTGAGCAGTAAAGATTCCTTCCTTCCTGGAAAGACTATGAACAGCTTGTTGCAAAATCCTTATTGGAAGAATTGTTGGAGCATCCTGGCTAGGGTCTCAATTACTTAGCAAGGGGACCAAATTTTAAAAAGACATGATTCAAAATAGTGCATTCAATATTGCTTCTATCTGTGTGGGGGGGAAAAAAAATAGAACATACCAAAATGTTAACAACGCTTATCTCTTGGATGATGTGAATTATGTAGACGATTAATTCTTCTTTATATGTGAGCATGTCTAATCTTAATATGCAAAGGTAAATTTTTGATTGTCTATTGTTTTATGAAAATATGTTTCCTCTTTTTAAAAAAAAAATATTTTTCTTAATTTTTAGAGAGAGGAAGGGAGTAGGAGAGAGAGAAACATGGATGAGAGAGTATTGATCGGCTGCCTCCTGCACGCCCCTTACTGGGGATCAAGCCCGCAACCCGAGCATGTGCCCTGACTGGGAATTGAACCAGTGACCTCTTGGTTCATGGGTCAAGCTCAATCCCTGACCCGCACCGGCCAAGGTGTTTCCTCTNGACTGCAGATTCAGAGCAAAAAGCTAAGGCAACAAAGATTAAAGACCCGGGACAATCTGGAATTTTTCTAAAGCATTCATGCGTTTACACGGCCAGTATGTGTGGAGGCCCTAGCATGCGTTTAGCACTTTGACAAAACCTGACAATGTCAGCTCAGCAAAAAATGCACTTATGCTGGATGGTTACTCTAAACTCCTTTTAAGAAAAACTGCCGTGCTTCACCGAGCAGAAGGCCTCAGTTGCAGGCAGGGACCAGCGTGCTCCTGACGGTCTCTCTCCAACCGCTCTGTCTCCTCAGTTTGCATCTCTGGTAGGAGCAGGTGTGATGCTGCTCCTGATGGTGAAGGTGGGAAGCTTTTTCTACGACCTGCCAAATGTAAGTGGAACTGATCAAATAGCCAAGCCCAGAAAGCGGGGTGTCCAGATTGCATCTTGGTGGGTATCCCTGAGCAGAACTGCACTCAGTGTGGCCCCACTGGCTGCCCCAGCCTCTCTCTAGTCCCTTCCCTTTAAAATACTAGCATCTACCTCTCAGGCTTGGGAGTTAAATAAGATAGTGTATATAATATAGAGATAACAGTGTTAAGCTAATCAGGAGCACTCGAGAAACATTAGCTACTGTTGCTGCTGTTCTCGTTAATCTTCTTTTAATTGCTCAAGCTCTAAAGTAAGCTTTAAAAGTAAGGATTTGGTTAAAGGTGACCAAAATAGACATCAGATGCCAGAACGCCCATTACCCACACAGGCTTAGAAACTCGCTGTGCATCCATGCCATCTGGTCCCTAACCCGCTCCCGGAGGCCTTGTTTTGCATTCATGTGAACGCACTCCCTCGCTTGCTTCCACACCGTCTCTGGCCAGTTTACAATACTAAACGGCAGGGTCTGAAAGTTGAGTTATAACTGTTCAGCTAGGATGCTCCTGTACACTCACGTGCCATTTCTCCCCTTTGTGTGAGACTGGCCACCTTGCATTGAGATTCCAGGTGCATTCATTCCTGGCTATAATCAATTTGTTCTATGTTACAGCAGAGATCAATGTTCAGCGACCATATTTCCTTTTACATTTCTTTCATGTTCCTTGTAGCCACCTTTAGATAGTACTAAGGCGTGTGGGAGGGGGTTTCATTCCTGGTGTCGCAGCTTGGTTACACACTGAGGTAGCGGTCCCCGAAGCGGGAGTGGTGTAAATCTCAGCCCCAGCCTTTCGAGCATGGCCATTGCACCGCAGAGCAGGCCGCCTCCCGGCCGTTGCTGCCTCCTGCTCTTGATATTCAGGGACCTTGGGCCCCAGCCCTGGAGTCTAGGCCTGGAGGGTGGGATTAAGCTTCGGTTTATCGCACAAGCTGTCCTCCGATCCCAGCAGAAGGCAGCTCCAGAATTTAGTTAGTATAGCACCTTTGGTGTGACCACTCTTCGAACCTATTCTAGCAAAGCCACTCACTAATTTACTTTGAACGGTGACATTTTTTTTCTTTATAGCTAGAAGAATAAGAATTTTTTAAAATTCCAAACACATAAAAATCTGTCAGAATTCACTGAAGGCTAGTGATAAAAGTAGGTAGCACTCTTTTATTGTAAATATATTAGACAGAACAATTCCTACTTTGGCTCCCCATGTTATGTCACATTATTTTTACAGCGTCTCGTTAGGATGTTTCTGGGTGAGAAAACGGGAACACAACCTGATCAGTGGACTATCTGAATACTATCCCAATGAGCTCTGTGAGCAGTAAAGATTCCTTCCTTCCTGGAAAGACTATGAACAGCTTGTTGCAAAATCCTTATTGGAAGAATTGTTGGAGCATCCTGGCTAGGGTCTCAATTACTTAGCAAGGGGACCAAATTTTAAAAAGACATGATTCAAAATAGTGCATTCAATATTGCTTCTATCTGTGTGGGGGGGAAAAAAAATAGAACATACCAAAATGTTAACAACGCTTATCTCTTGGATGATGTGAATTATGTAGACGATTAATTCTTCTTTATATGTGAGCATGTCTAATCTTAATATGCAAAGGTAAATTTTTGATTGTCTATTGTTTTATGAAAATATGTTTCCTCTTTTTAAAAAAAAAATATTTTTCTTAATTTTTAGAGAGAGGAAGGGAGTAGGAGAGAGAGAAACATGGATGAGAGAGTATTGATCGGCTGCCTCCTGCACGCCCCTTACTGGGGATCAAGCCCGCAACCCGAGCATGTGCCCTGACTGGGAATTGAACCAGTGACCTCTTGGTTCATGGGTCAAGCTCAATCCCTGACCCGCACCGGCCAAGGTGTTTCCTCTTTACGCTCCTTCCCTCAAGGCAAAAATCTTGCAAAACCCCTATAAAGTTGAGATTCCTTTCCTTCCTACCACGTCCCCCTGTAAGTTGCAGAAAGTTTGGAGGCTCCTGGCTGGCGAGGAGATGAAGATGGGAAAGAAGTGCCTCCTGCTAGCTTCATCCTTGCTCTCCCCCCTCTACTGCTGAGTGCAGCCGATAACTCAGAAAACCAGAGGCAGCTGGACCTGCCACTCCGGTGGTGGGATCAGCTCTAACCCCCAGGCAGAGCGGGCGGAGAGGACGGCAAGGGAAAGGCTGAGAGAGGTTAAGCCAGTGCAGGGGCCTCAAGAACACAAGAAAGTGTTTCTTAAAGTAGGTTAGTTCTACTTTAAGGCCCTGATGATTTTTATATCCTACGAGAATAGATTTTTATTTTCTCATATTTAAGAAACTTTCTTTCCACTAGAAAAGTAGACATGCTGCCCAGTCAGTGTGGCTCAGCGGCTGAGTATCGACCGAGGATCCAGGAGATCGTGGTTCGATTCCCAGTTGGGGCACATGGCCGGGCTGTGGGCTTCATCCCCAGTGGGGGTCGTGCAGGAGGCCCCCGATCAATGACGACTCTCTCATCAATGATGTTTCCATCTCTCTCTCCCTCTCCTTTCCTCTCTCTGAAATCAATAAAGACATAAAAAAAGAAAAGTAGACATGGAAAATTCATAATAGATAAAAACGTCATCCACATTTACATATGAACCGCTATTAACATTTTGGCACATATCTGATCAATATTATTTTCTGTGAATGGGTATTACTTTGCCTAGTTTTAACCTAACTGGACAGGCTTTGTATTCTTGTTTGTATTTAATATATAGCATGAAAAAATAATAATATATAGCATGATACCTCAAACTGTAACTTATTTAGTTATTTTCTTATTGGAAAATTAGGTTGTCTGAATTTTTGTTATTATAAATAACACAACGAGTAATTTTGTGCATACACCCTTTTCTATATTTAGATTTCTAAAAGTAAACAAAATTTCTGTGTGAAAGCGTATCAGTATGGCTTGACATATTGCCAAATTATTTTCCCAAAAGGCTGTACCCCTTTACACTCAACAACCATATATATGGAGTGTTTTCAACTTGCTAATTCGATTTGATGGGCACAAAAAATGGTATCTTGTTGTTGAAATCATAATATATCATGATTAAATCTGAACAAAAGCCCAATTGAAACTATTTTAGAGTTCCTCTGAACGGAAGTTCGCTAATTTGTCAATATAGTAACACAGTTGTGTCAGGTAGCCGAAGGTGCCAGCCCGAGGGTCCTGTCCCATACACCAAAAGTGACAGCGCAGACACAGGAAGGGCTAGAGGACTGCGGTCTCTGGCCCCCCTTCTCCCCACTGTCTGAGCTGAAGGGCTTGCTGTGGCTTTCCTGGCTCAACCCGTCAGGCCTTGGCCGTGGCCTTGCCTTGGCCTGTGTGTTTGACAAACAACAGAGGGGAGCAGAGAAAAATGTGGAGAATGCTTATTGGATGAGACAGTGAGTGAAAGCACGGACGTGGTATTTCTATGAAATATCAATGCCTAATATCTCTGAGCGGCAAGGCTAACTTTTGTGGTTACTTTATGAAGATTTGGGAGTTTCACTCCCGAAGGGAAAATAAAGCAGGGCTTATCTTTCCCCCCAGGCTGTGCTGGCTGGTATTGTTGTGAGCAACGTCCTACCCTACCTTGAAAGCATTTACTACCTACCCAGCCTGTGGAGGCAGAGCCCATGCGACTGTGTGAGTGTAGACGCCCTGGCCGAGGTAGGGGCGGATGAGGGGAAGGCTGGACAGAGGGAAACAGGACAAACGAAAGACACCAGCACGGAGGACGCTAGCAACTCATGCCTGGTGCTCTGCTTTTGCTTTAAATAGGGAGGCAAATACCGAGGCCTCCAACGATGCAAACGTAAATAAAAAGGAATGAATTCAGTGGCTACAGTTAGATGCAGAGGTAGTAAAAAGGGGTTGTCGTGCATTGCATGTTTGATTGACTTTTAACCCAGAGACCCAGATCCTGATAAGAGGAGGTGTCTTGCCGGAGTAACTGATGGGGCCCCTCCTTCTGTCTGGAACACAGAGCTGGGCACAGGAAGGGGAAACGGCAAGAAATGAGATTGGGGGGGTGATATGATGAGAGGAGCAGGACCCCAAAGAGGCAAAGAGATGTGATAGGAGATAATTTTTGGATTCAGGTCCCCGAGGAGCTAAGAGGGTATGTGGTCAGGGCATGGGCAGAGCTGCTGGCCTTAGGAGGAGAGCGAGCGCCTGCAACAGGCCTGGGGCGGGTGAAGGAAAGCTGAGTGCAGACATTAGCTCGCAGGTGGCAGGCGGCAGTAAACATTTTAAGAAAATTTTTTATTCTGATGCACTTCTGTCTCCACTTAGTCGCAGAGGAAGTCGTCAGAAAATAGAAACACTATTAGCAGAGAAGGTTGGACCTACTTAACTCACAGTCTCATTTAAAAAAAAAAAAAAAGTTTTTTATTGATGTCAGAGAGAGGGAGAGAGAGAGAAACATCAGTGATGAGAGTCACTGCTCGGCTGCCTCCTGCACGCCCCCTGCTGGGGACCCAGCCCGCAGCCCCGCTCCTGCCCTGACCGGGAATGGAACCGTGACCTCCTGGTTCACAGGCCGGCCCTCAACCACCCAGCCACGCCTGATGGGCGGCAAGTAAACGTTTGAGGGAGTTTCAGGCTATCTTCTCTGTGAAGGTTAAAGTCAAGCCACCTGCTGAGGTGATGGAGAAGGGCTTGACATGGATGGTAAAGACTCGCAGCAACTACTACAGGTCTGAAAGTAGCAACTGCCGTTTGGTGAGCATCTGGGTTGCTTTACAAATGGCATTTCTAGTCTCAACAGAGCCTCTAAAGTAGATATTACCACCCCTATTTTGCACATGAGGAACCTAAAATTTCAAGTGAGAATTAGAGAGAGAAATGACCAAGGAAGCATGGAAGCATGCTCGGCAGCCTTGGGCCCAGGCTTCTGTGGCCGCAGGGTCCCTATGGCCCTGGGGCTGGTTGTCTGAATCCCAGGTAGGGGGCGGTGAGGGTGAGTCGAGACAGGGCCGGCAATTTTCTCAACCCCGCTGCTCATCACGGCGTTCCTTTTCCCTCCTTCCCTTCTTCCCGAAGATTATTTGGATTGTGACATTCATATCTGCAATTTTCCTGGGACTGGACGTGGGACTACTTGTCTCACTGGCCTTTACCTTCTTCATGATCACCATTCAGTCACACAGGTACTTGGTCTCAGGTGACGGGAGGCCAGTCGTGCCTGCGAGGCAACCAGGACCTAAGGGCCACTGCATTTCCTTTCAGAACCAAGATCCTTCTCCTGGGCCAGATCCCCAACACCAACATTTACAGGAACATCAGCGACTACCGGGAGGTGAGCACCGAGGCCAGCCCCGCTCCTGCGCCCAAAGGACGGGGCGGGCCGGGCCTGCTGCTTAGTCTGTCTGCAAAAATCGCTTTGCTGTTGTTTGCTGAGCTGCAGACGCGCTTGGCAGAGGCGGGGAGAGGTGGGGACGCAAAGGGGCAGGTCAGTCCCAGGGTCCTGCAGCCAGTTAAGGATCATTTTCAAATGCACTTTAGGGGGCAGAAGGCCAAAAGAGAGGCGCCAGGCGATGGAGGGGGGAGAAGGCAGCAGGAAAAGCAAGGGTGGGAATGGGAGGGAGGGCCTCGCCGCCTCGGGCCTCCTTTAGGAAGAATACAGAGTCTCCAGGCGGTTCTAGAGGGAGCCTTCTGGGAGCTCTGCGCTTGTCTGCAGCTCATAACCATTCCCGGGGTGAAGATCTTCCAGTGCTGCAACTCCATCACCTTCGTCAACGTGCACGAGCTGAAGCGCAAGCTGCTGCAGGAGGTGAGGGCTCCTTGCGCCCGCCGCGCCCCCGGACCCCTCCTGCGC